ACAACATCCCCTCAAAATGCAAGGAGAAACAGAAAGACTTCCCTGACTCTCTTACATCACGTCCCTTTTCACATCAGCTCACCCTAGGGTACCTTCAGGTCCTTTAGCAACTGGCAGACTGGGAAGACCAGGCCTTTTCTGCAAAAGTCAAGGGACCTCCTCCACAAAAACTCACCAAGAAGAGCTGTCACTTTGAAGAGGAGAGCTGGCATTATGTGCTACCTGTTTTTCTCCAGTGTGCTGCTACATGCAGGATGGTGACAGTATCCAGTCCTGCACAAAATGCAATTAGCAATACTGTTCTCAGAAGGTATAAAAGACTGAGGCCCAGTACAGGTTTGCTCATTCAGAAACCAGCTCCAGGGAAAAAGAGACTCGGAAACCTGATTTTTTTTTTTTTTTTTTTTTGTAAATTACAGTGGGTGTGAGTTCCCAGATAAACAAGACTGAACATCAGTGTGCTGGGAACAGCCGATATACCTACTGCTGCTGCCAGCATCCAGGTTATCTGTGTCAGCTCAGAGCAGGAGGGCACAGTCCCACAGCAGCAAGGGAGCTCTGCCCACCCATCCCAGGCACACAGCCTCATCCCCTCCCTGGCACCAGCACTGTGGCTTGGTGTACACTGTGCCAAGCACTTGCTGGGCAAAAAGTAAACCTGTGGTTTTCTGCTGTTTTATCTGCTCCACTGAGGATTTGGTCACCCAATCCTCTTGTGTGAGCATGTGAGAAAAAGCGACTCAACACCATCCTTAAGCTGCCAAAAAGCTGCAGGGCATTTGCAGACCACAGATGAATTTAGAGCATGCCTTGCAGTACAGAGGTCCAAACAGGCAGAGGTAAACACAAGAGAGAGGAGAGGCGGGTGCCCTTGGATCAGGACAAGCTGCAGCAACTTCTGCCCAGCTACAGAAGCTTCATCAGCAGTAAAAGCAGGAGGAGAAGGTGTGCAATCGATGCTCCCCCTAAACTGTTGCACTTCTGAGGTCCAGTGTACAGCCTGGCTTGGTGGGAGCTCTAATCTTCTCCAGACTGATGCCACCTTGGCCCTGACCTTATCCAGTGAAAGTGTCAGCAGGCAGGATCAGTCCACGTAGTCACCCTGTCTTGTGTTCTCACAGCTGACAGTATCACAGGGAAATCTTTCTATCATCAGAGAAATAATGAGCCTTTCTCATTGCCTGACACATGGGAGTATTTACTCACAGCAATAAAGAGAGGAGTGAGGTGGCTGAAGGTGTGGTTTGAATCTAGAAAGTCTGGCAAAACTGCTGGGAAGTGCTGATGGCTGATCCCTGCCCTAGTTACAGAGGGTGATCTCAGATGTGAGGGTTTGGCTCCACTGTATAGCCAAAGGAAAACCTCTGGTCACTTGCATCTCTGGTGTTGGTTCATTTTTGGTTTGGTTGGTTGTTTTGGGGTTTTCTTGTGTGCAAAGGAGAACAAATTTGTCCTTCTTACTTATGGAGAGACCTTAGAGTGATCAGAGGGACAGAGCAGCAACTATTATCCTCTCTATAAAAGCCATCTGGAAGCAGGGAGTAAACTAAGGATGAAAATGAGCATGGTACTTGCCCTCCTCTTTTTGCCTTGCCCCTTTGTGCAGCGGGAGGGTAGATAGTGGGCTCTGGGCTTGGGCTTTACAAGCAAGGCAGCATCTGCTCTCAGGGTACTGCAACATTTGTATGATCCTGGTGTCTGCTGGTATGCCAGAGGCCTGGGAGGAGCAGCAGAACAGGAGTTAAAATATCAGTGTGCATGCAGCAAGTGGGAAGGCCAAAACCAGCCATGAAATCCAGGAAAGAGACCAGATAACAGCAAGGAAATGGCAGGTGCTGGGGGGGGGGTGACGACACCAAGGCCATGCCACCGATAAGGCCACCACGCAGACGTGGGTGATGTGATGCAATCCAGTTTGGACTCCTGCCATCTGTGCCCACTCAGATGGAAAGCCTGCAAACAGAGCCGCAGTCTCCTGGGAGGGGGAAGGTGTGATAAGGGCTCATGATGTTACAAGTGATCCCAGGTCAGTGCGTGGACATGGACTGGTGGGTGCCAAGGGAACAAGCACAAAGGCAGGGGCAGTGCCACGAGCAAACAAGGATGAGATTGGTTGTGGAAGCAGGAGTCTCCTCCCTTGTTGCCAGTGTCTCCAGCACAGTTTATCTGCCTTGCTGGTGACAAGACTGGGACCTTCATACCTGCCCCTTGTACGCATCTTGCTGGTAAAAGTGCAGGGAGGATGTGGCAGAGCCAGCTGGAGCCACTTGGCCAATGTGAGGGCAAGCAGCCACTAGAAAACCTCCTGTCTTACCCAAAGAAGAATTCCTCCACCTCTTCTTCGAGAGGGACAGGAGACAGAACTTTTGTTAGGGGTTTCAAGCTTGTACTTGCAACAGAAAGAAAAGCCAGAAAAGACAAAACCAGTTTGCAAGGGGTGATTCCCCTTTGTCATCTCTTAGCATGTCATTTTAATTTGCTCTGTGAAGGCAGTGGCATTTCAATATCACTGAGGAACGAGGTGGAGGAAGATCAAGCCTCATATCAGGCAACAGCTTTTCCACAGCGCTGCTGATCTCCAGCACAGAGAGCACACAGACATTTCCTGCTGCCCTCCATCCAAGGGGAGTGATCTGGAGCACACACTATGTTCCAGCAGCACAGCCCCAACATGTTGCTCCTGTGCTGCTGCTGGCATGATCCAAAGAACGAGGCTTTGCTTGGGACTGGAGCCACAGCAGGGTTCTTTGCAGCAGCACCACCAGAGGCATTACAATCAGCAATTGGGTATGGGTTTTGGTAGTAAAGATTTTGAAGAAGACTGTAAAGGCCCATGATAGCCCTCATCCAGGGCTGTGCTGTGTGTTGGTGTGGGAGCAGCTTGCAGGAGGTGGCTCCACGTTGACCATGTAGCTGAGTGTTGGCTAGGACCAGATCTGCAAGACGGGAATCGAAGGAAATACATGCATGTGTGCTGGAGAGTGACATCTGCTTGTGCCATGGGCCCAGCATGCTGGTGGCAGGGCCCTTCAGGGCTCACCCTCCAAGCCTTGTGTGCAGCAGGGTTTGGTCAGGGCATCTGTGGCTTTATATATGGCCCACAGAGGATGGAGATCTCCCACCTCCCTGCTGGTTTGGGTTGTTCACCCTCTGGGGTAAGGTTTCTTTCCTGACCCCTCACCTGAATATCTCAGGGCTGAAGTTGCTTTTTATTCTATCATCTGGCACTACCAAGAAGAGATTGGCTCCATCAACTTCCCTTTCAGCTGTTGTAGGCTGCTATCAGATCCCCCTTGGCCTCCCTTGTACTAGACTAAACAAGCCCAACAGGACCCCGTGTGCCTCAGGAAAAACTGCTAATGCAGTTAAATATTTACTTTAGTTGAGGGATTTCCAAAGTGGAATAATAATAAAAGCCAAAGGTTATTGAACTGTGTAAACTCCATGAAGAGGGAATACGAAACATGTGCACAGCTGCCTCGGCAGAGTGGAGGAATGGTTCTGCAAGAGGAACCCTGAACTGGTCACCTTCTCCCTTCCCAAAACGTGGTCACAGCCCTGCTGGGTTGCATATGGAAGGGCCTCCCAGTGGCAAGGACATGAGCAGCCTCATGCAGGGCCCACACCTCTCTAGCTATGGGGGATGCTCACCAAGCTGTTCCCTTTTGTCTCAGACAGACAAGGCCAGCCTGTATCTTCCTGTAGGGAAGAGATGTCCTAAGCACAGTCTTAGTCAGATCCTCAGCAAATTCAAATGTTTGGTCTCTGTGTGCCTGGAGCCCTCCAAGCCTGCTGGTGGTTTCTGTGGTGGTTTCTGGACACCTACCTCATGTCCACCCTTTGCACACATGGCACATCCTACCTGCTCCCATGCAGAAGGAGAGACCCTTTGCCCCTTCTGGCCCAGACCTCATCTCAGCAAGTCTATCCCAAGGGAGTTTTTTAGTCAACACTGACTTTATGCCCAGTGGTCCTCTTTCCCCTCCTTCACCCTTCACCAACTGATTTTGTTTCATGAAAGGAAGACTGGGACAGATGTGGAAAATTCAGTTTCTGAGAAAGAGATGATAAGGATGCTCACACAGAAGGACTGGCATCAAGCATCCAGTCTGGGAGGCAAAGCAGCTGGGCTCTTCTTGAGTGGTGATGTGTGTTGAAAAGACTGTGTCTCTTACCACTGAGGATCCTCTCCAGCCTCTCTGTCTCCTCTGTGCTCTGTGTGCCACTTCTGTGTGTTTGATCTGGGTACCCATGCACACAGCTCCCTTCCAACACACTGAATAATTTTGCTCTGTCCATCTCAGCTGCAACCAAGGTGGTGAGGTATCATAGCACTTTTGACTATGTGGCTCCCCTAAGCACAGGCAGTGACTGCACTTGCAACTCTCTGCTCCCAATCAGCCAAATTTTGTTCCCTCCAGCCCCTCCGTGCCCCCAGCCTGTCCCATCCCACCCAGTACCTAGGTGGGCTTGCTGCAGCATGATGGCAGGCCTCCTGTTGTGTCTGAGGTCCTGCCCAGTGCATGAGGCCGCTGAGTATCCAGCTGGCTGTATCTCATGGGATAATGCTCAGGCCACAGTACCGCCACCCAAATCAGCCTGAATTTCCGGGCTTTTCTATGGGCAGTCTCACCACTCAAACAGAGATACCTGTCATGTATGAAGAATAGCAGCTGCAAAGGGATGGTTTGGGCAAGATACACTCAGAAGTAAGGTGGCTGGGGTAAGTGGAGAAGAGCAGCCTTGCCCAACTCTGACAACTGTGCAAAGGGATTGTAAAGCAGCCTCCAGTGCTGTCACCTGAAGCTGGAAAGAGGCACAGGGGAAGCTTATCAGTTGCACGAGAGTGCCCAAGCAATCCATCCCTCTGGGTGTACAGTCCAGCTGCTACCAGCACAGATCAAAATGCTGCTTTTCCCAGCACTCCTGAGATAAGCTGGTGCCCTTCCTTATAAAGGCAGCCAGAGCGAGGTGCCCGAGCGTGTCTGCCTGAACCAGCCATGGCTGTGAGGGATCTGGTGGTGGTGGTGGTGGTGGTGGCAGCAGTGGTGACTCTGGTTGCTGCCGGCGGTAAGTCTGCTCTGCTGCTTGAGGGAATGGCAGAAGGACCAAAAGTGGGTGACAGGGAAGAAATATCCAGAAATTCTGGTTTGGAGAGAAGGTGAGGAGGGCAAACAACCAGTGGCAGCATGGTGAGGAAGGACTGGAGCAAACACACCGTACCTTCCTTATTAGCAGTTCAGGGCAAGGATTGCAGGCTGGTTCATCAGCTGTATTGCACCTGGGAGAGGGATGGGATAGGGAGAGTTCACAGTTTGAACAGGAACCAGGTCCTAGGAGGACAGCACATACACTGGGGTGGCAGCTACTGTAGTTCCTGCTTCCATGAAGACTGGCAAGTCCTTGCAAGAACCCTATGTGCTCAGCATATTCTTGTGGAAAGCACCTGTTTGTAGGTACTGGAAAGCCACTGCTACCTAGGTGTATGTAGGTGTGATCCTGCACCAACCTGTGTGAGAGCCTTCATGTCCTTAGATGGGCACAGATGGGCTGTGAACTGTTGCTACTACTCTGCCTGACTGAAAAAGAAAGAACCACCGAATGCTGCTCTCCCTAGGGATTGCAATTGTCCAGCTGTGCAGCATCACCAGCCTTCTGAGGATACTCCATGCCCCATACATTACTGCCTGGTTTCCCATTTCCTGAGATGTGTTGGATGCTCTGTGGAACTTCTGGTCCAGAGACTGGGAGAGAGTGCTGTTGGAAGATGGTTTAGTGGGTAGGAACAGCCGTTTCCAGCTTTACCCCAGCCAGTGCAGCTGTGGATGGAAGCTGTGTACTGTGCTGCTGGCAGGGGGAGTGGGACTGGCATGCAGCAAACTGATTCCCCCTCATGAAACCCACACAGTTGATTCAGGTCCTGAGTGGGCTCTGCACAACACTGCTTTCCCTTTGGTTTGGATGTGATCCTCAGTTGATGACTTGTGCTTCTGCCATCAGTCACAGGTGTGCCATGCTCATGGGTCTCTGCTCTATTTCAGGGGCAGAGCTGAATGAAGAGAGTGGCCTGAGAAAGGTAAGAGGTTTCTGGTTTTTTCCTTGTTCGTGGCTTGAGATGGATATGCCTGGTGTGCCTGGGAGAAAGACTGTTCCCAGCAATCATCCACGGACTCGGGGGTACTGGTGTTCCAGCACCAAACCCACATCAAATCCCAGGCTGCAAGTCCCACTGAGGGCTGTGGTGGCCTCTGCTCCCTGTGTGGCCATGCCCTGCCCCATTTGGGGCAGAAGGAACCAGGTTGCCGGTGGCACTTGCTCCTGCCTGGGCATTGTGAGAGGAAGAGATGGGTCCTGCTGGCACTGAAATGTGTGCTGTCGTTTCTCCTTTCAAGCCGGTGTGTGCAGACATGGTTGACCTGCAGGCCTGCCCCCTCCTGTACTTGCCTATCTGTGGGACCGATGGGAATACCTATGCAAATGAATGCCAGCTCTGTGTGGAGCAAATGTAAGCTCATGCCCTTGGCAGAGACCTTCTGGGTCTAATTTAGGCTATCTGGGCGGTTGTGAAATACTGTCATTCGTGCCTGGGAAAATCATGGCAGACTGCACTTGCATGGCAAATAACACAAGCCGTGTGTTGGGCTGCAAGGGGGGACGGATAACCAGCTTGTCAAGCGAAGCTGCAAGGAAGTTGGTGGAGCTGCACCCAGCTAGTCTGGGGAAGGGGAGGCCTGGGGTTATCTAGCAGTAGCCTGCAATTGCAAATGGGATGGAGCCACTTCTTCTTGGTAGTAGCAAGTGATATACAACGTGGGGCAACAGCCACAAGCAGCAGGTCCAAGAGGATGAAAAGTTGATGCAGGGAAAACCTTTTCCCCAGGAGGGTGGTGCACCATGGAGGTGTGAGGAGGGGGTCTCCATTCTTGTGGGGTGGTGGTTAGGGCTCAGACAGAGCCATGGCCACTGTAACCTCACACTAGGGACAGCCCTGCTGTGAGCAGACTGGGCTGGAGGCCCACCACAAGTGTCACAGGCCCTGGGAGGGGACATCTGTGAGCCAGGATGACTTGACCTCAACTTTTTAGACAGGAAAATGAGTAAGCCTATTTTGTAATAGTCAGTTCCATTCCATTTGATGGAATGCAGCCAAAGTGTGACTCGCAAAGTATTTTTTTTATCTCTTACTCTTTTTTCCTGTATTATTTTAGGAAAACCAGGCAAGACATCCGGATTCTGAAAGATGGGGAGTGTCAAAATACCTGAGCTTTCTGATAGCTTTCCTGAACCTAGAAACAGGTGATTAATTGATCCTGTGTGCTCTGTGCTGATTGGACACTTACATTAGCTATGGTAAATAATAAAAAATAACATGTACAATCTTATTTAAACAGCACTTTTTTGTGCAAGGCTGAGGGAAAACACGACAAGCCAGTTCCCATAAAGGGCTGATAAAAGTGTAGTCAAAACATTAATTTCAAATCCACATCACAAAACAGGGTGTTCTGCACATTACCTCACTCACATTACTGTGAGAAAAGCCATGGAGAAGCAGCAAGAAAAACACAAATCCTTGTGAAGACAGTGCTGGACAAGTGCAGGTTTTTTTCTGTAGGAGGCAATTTCGCAAAGGGAAAGTAAAGTTTTTTCAGGATGAGAGAAGATGTCTCCCTGGCTCACTAGTAAACTGCTTCACTGCTTCCAGAGGTGATGTAAATTGAAAATAGTAACATCTGCACTTCTCATATTAGATGTTATTCAGCTTTTTATCCAAAAGGCTTTCACATACCAATCAGCTCAGATAATACATGGGGGCATGGAAAGAGCTTGAGTGGAGAAGCTGAACACAAGAGACCCCAGATCTCTGCTCCAGCACTTGAGAGCAACCTTCAAACTGAACAAATTTCAGGTCTTGGTTGCTCCTGGTGTCAGGGCCATCTTTGAGACTGTGGCAGGGCTCAGTCCCACCAGGGTAACAGTGTCAGTGTGCATCAGCAGTCTCTGGGGCTCCCTCTGCTCTTTCATCTTCCACTTCTACCACATGGTCCACAACTCACCTTTCACAAAATACTTGTAATGAGGTTGTACACCTTGGGTGTGCAAGGGGCCCTCTTTGCTCATAGTGGCAGCTATCAGAGGACACTGACTAATCCAGGACTTGTCTCCTGAATTCAGTTCAGTCCTGCACCAGATATATTTCTACAGAATTACTGGCTGAGATTACAGACCAGCTTTGAAGAGTGTTTCAGTGTGAACTGACACCCTCCAAGGATAGGCCTGTCCTCACCCACAGGAGATCATGCTGCTCTGACTTGCTACTATACTATAATTGTATACTGTACACCTCTTATTTGCAGGCATCTGAGTAAGAATACGGGGTGCATCATATGGTCAAGTGAGCTCCCTGAAGTCAGTGACCATTCTGCAAGTCTGGGAGCTCTGCCAGTGTCATGGCTACTGTGCTTGATCAGCTGGAATTCATCCCCTCACCCAGTTCTGCACTTTGCTGGAGCCACCAGATGGGACACTGCAGCACCATAATGCACAACAAAGCCATTGCTGACAGATTTAATGCTGAACCAGGAAATAGTATTGAGGAGCATAAAACAGCCATGCTCAGTCAAATGGATTGCATCCACCATTTTTTGTCCCAGAGGCAGCTGCTGTCATCAAAAGTTTTCTCTCCTTAAAAAGTTCTTTACCAGGCTAAGAAGTCCTAGCCTGGCTCAGGGTTGTTTTAAAAGCTTTGACCGTCCCTGTTGTCCTTTCCTGGACCCTTTCCACTTCTGCAGAGGAGGGGACACAGCTTGCCCAGCCATCCATGGGTGCTGCTGTTACACCACTTGCTCATTTGCCCTGAGGCTCTGCAAGCCTGCTTTTCCCTTTTCTGTCCTCTGGTAGCAAGGGAGAGGTGCTCTGCTGTGTGCTGCTCTCTGCATTGCCAGGTCTTCTCTGCAGACCTTGGTGTCTCCTGTGCACCACAGGGAAGGGCTTTGGTGGGGTTATGACCCCCAAAACACTTCCACGGTGAACAACACAAATGTATGGCTCACTTCTGTCCTGGGGTTTTCTGCTCCTGCTGCTGCCAACCCAGCCACAGGCAGGATGTATTTGGGCAGCTCTATCCCAGCTTTCTGCCAGGGCTTAAGGGAAGGTTATGCCCAGCTTAGCATGGTGCATGACTGGGACCCATTCTCCTCCTGGGGTGGCTGGAGGTCACCAGTATCTCAGCCCCATGCCATGGCTCAAGCTGCACAGGCAGAGTGGCTGCAGCCCTTCTCGTATTCCCTGAGAGCCACATCTATTTATGTGCAGAGGCTAGGAAAAAACAACACAAACAATCCAGAGGCTCTTCTGAAGAGGGAAACCACATGCCTCCAGCACAACGTGGAGTGTTTATTCAGAAACTGCAGAACTAAAGCACACACTTATAGGTCAGACCTGCAAGGTTAGAGCATGGGCAGCCACAGGACAGTGTCAGTGTTGACTCTACACACAGCGAATTCAGAGGTACCAGTCCTCCCCAGGGACTGGTGGATTTGCCTGTTTATTTCACATGGCTCAAAAGCAAGCTGCAGAGCAAGGGGAGGATGGTGGGAATGGTTTAACGCCACCACAGACCTCAGGGCCTGTGCAAGACTAGCCTGGTGCAGAGAGCCTGACTCTGAAGACTGGTAGAGCTGTGGCTGGCAAGGTCAGGTGAGGCTCAGGAGGCAGCTGATGGACAGCAAAATGCCTGCAATGCCCTGATCTGTGCCAAAGGGTATGAATGTGGATTTGCACTTCTGCATACAGTTTTGCCTGTTCAATTTATCCACCTGTTTCCCATCTTTTGATGCTTCAATCAAGGCAGGAAGAGGAAGGGATTATCTGTTTTCACAAGCACCATAGTTTGCCACACAGAGCAACTGGTAGTTGGGCTCCCAGAGAAGTGTGTTGCAACCAGGCAAGTTGCCTCCAAATGTGCCTGAAGTCAGGGAGTGAAGGACAAGCCTGCAAGTTTGTCAGATAAAAGTAGAAGAAATGCCCTGATAGTGTGCTAGGGTGGCAGTGGTGTAGCTTCCCCAGCTGCCCACGTTGATCCCTCAGATAACCCTGGGCTCAGGGCTGCACCCATGACTGCAGGGAGGGATATTTGGGTCTCTGGATATTGCCTCGCAGTAGCCAGATAGGGGAAAGAGAGATACACTGGAGGGTCATGAGACCTTTGACTTATACATAGATCCAAAGCCTGGTGTTGTCAGGTCTACAGTGACAGCAGTTCCACCAGCGTCAGGAGAGAGGCCCAGTGGCAGGATCCAGTCCTAGGTCCAGTTGTCCCTTGGACAAAACTTTTGAAAGCTATGTCATGGACTGGCAATGGTGAGATGTACCCAAGGTTGTGGGTGTTCCCCTACCAAGCAGCTCCAGTGACACTTGAGGAGTCTGTGACGCTGGAGATGCTCAGGTTGCTGAACACCCAGCTGAACTCTTCCAGGTCCTTGTTTAAAAACTGGATGCACCAGTGGAGGTGGTCTAGGGCCAGATGAACTGAAATGTGGAGTGAAAGGGGAGGGAGGCAGTATCTGGCACACTGTAAAGTGTCCAGCTGCAACAGTTCACGCAACCAAGACTGGCCAGAAAGTTTAACTTAGTTTCACAAATTCATTCATAACAAAGGGGAGGCAGCTTTGGCCACATCTGCTCAGGAACTCTGATGAAGAAGACATCACTGCATTGCTGGTGCTGGTGGGGCACAGGGAGGCACAGGGAGGCAGTGCTGGGCTCTAAAATGAGCCCAGTGCCATTGTGGGTGAGACTCTGCCTCTCAGTACCTCTTCTTCAGAGCATAGATAACTCAAAACTAGGCAGTGGGGTCTGTAATCTCTACGTTTTTAACCATTTTCAAAGCCTTCCCATGGGATAATAAAATCACTTCCTTGGGATTTAAAGTAAGTTACACACAAGAGACAAATCTCTTACAGAGAGTTCATTCCCGAGAGATGCAAGCACAAGCTCTGTAAGATTTTAGTGTTTTCCACTAAACACCTCTAAAGACTCTGGGGGCACAGTGGCTCTTTCTTGTACAAGTGCTCCCTTCAGGGTAGAAGATGGAGAACGGAGAAACATTCACAGCACCAGCTCTGCAGTATCATCAGCAATATTTTGCTGAGTCAAGAGTCACTTATCAGACCTCGCCAGGCTTCGGAGTGACTGAGTAGACGATGGGTGTGAGAAGCTGAGTTAGCCACGGTCTGAGCACGCACCCAGTTCCCGTGGAGCAGTGAAACACACAGGGATTTCCACCCTTTCTTCCATGTTTCATATCACCTGCAAGCAGCCCAAAATGTAGAATCATAGAATCATTTAGGTTGGAAAAGGCCCTTAAGATGAAATCCAACCACTAATCCAGCACTGTCATATACAGCACTAAACCATGTCCCTAAGCACCACATCTACATGTCTTTTAAATACTTCCAGGGATGGTGAGTCCACCACTGCCCTGGGCGGCCTGTTCCAGTGTTTAACAGCCCTTTCAGGGAAGAACTTTCTCCTGATACCCAATCTAAACCTCCCCCAGAGCAATATGGGGTCATTTCCTCTTGTTATTTGGCAGAAGAGATGGACCACCACCTGTCTAAAATCTACTTTCAGGTAGCTGTACAGAGCAATAAGATCTCCCCTCAGGTTCCTTTCCATCAAGCTAAACACCCACAGCTCCTTTAGCCTCACAGGACTTGTTTTCTAGACCCTTTACCAGCTTCGTTGCTCTCCTTTGAACACACTCCAGTGTCACAATTTCTGCACCTGGGACAGGGAAACCCTGGCTGTGTGTATAGACTGAGGGATGAGAGGCTGGAGAGCAGCACTGTGGAAAGGGACCTGGGGGTCCTGGTTGATGGCAAGTTGAATTTGAGTCAGCAGAGTCCTGGCAGGCAGGAGGGCCAACCCTGTCCTGGGGGCATCAGGCAAAGCATCACCAGCCGGTCAAGGGAGGGGATTGTCCTGCTCTGCTCTGACCTGGGGCAGCCTCACCTTGAATATTGTGTGCAGTTTGGGGCACTGCAATATAAGAAAGATATTAAGCCATTAGAGAGTGTCCAAAGGAGGGCCGTGATGAAGGGTCTGGAGGGGAAGCTGTGTGAGGAGTGACTGAGGGCACTTGGTTTGTTCAGCTTGGAGAAGAGGAGACTGAGGGGAGACTTCACTGAGGTTTTCAACATTCTCATGAGGGGAAGAGGAGGGCTAGGTACGGATCTCTTCACTCTTGTGACCAGTAACAGGACTTGAGGAAATGAGGTGAAGCTGAGTCAGGGGAGGTTTAGGTTGGATATTATAAAAAGGTTTTTCACCCAGAGGCTGGTTGGTCACTGGAACTGGCTCCCCAGGAAAGTGGTCACAGCACCAGGCCTGCCAGAGTTCAAGAAGCATTTGGACAACACTTTCAGGCACATGGTGGGATTCTTCTGGCGTTCTGTGCAGGGCCAAGAGTTGGACTTGATGATCCTGATGTGTCCCTTCCAACTCAGCATAATCTATGATTCTATATCTTTGTGGTAGTGAGGGACCTAGAAAGGAACACAATGTTCAAGGTCTGATGTTTCTCTTCTCCACAAGCAATGCCTTTGCACAGTAAAGCATCCTGAAGGATACAGTTTTCTGATGTCTGCATGACCAGGGTGGCCCCAGGGCTGTGCAGCCTCACACAGTGCTGGAACAAGGACACCTCCACCAGCTTGGGACACCATGCCTTTGTTTATGACTGAGCTACAAGAAACTACTCTGAATGACTTGGAAGCCTCACATCTCCTTATGCCATCCATGTTCCTGGCCCACCCTCCCATATCAGAGCGTTCCCATGTCTGCTCTGCTGCCACCACCCTGCTGCTTCTTTTGGGGCTGTTAGACCTACCCCACCTCTGTGGAGGTACCATGTAATCTGTAGTGGACAGAGGGCAGGAGCCCTGGAGCGAAGTGGTAACTCGGGATAAGCAGAAAGGCAGCAGAGATGACCTTGGACCCCCAGGGTTACATCTTAAGACGCCCACAGGCATGAAGTTTCAAGCCTTGGAGTTTCCAGGGACCTAGAGAGAGATGCTGCTGAGAGCAAATGATGTTCATTAAAAATAAAAAAGACTGGCAGAGACTGGAGGCAGGCCAGATTGGCTCTTCCCTGAGGAGCTGCTCTGCTTCAGGGCAAGTCTTGGGACTGTTCAAGGAGCTGGGATCATCCCTGCTGTGAAAGGCAGGCAATTCCCAGAGGACCTGGGGGTACAAGAACACTGTCAGGTTCTTCCACCAACTTTTGAGCCACTTTGAGTTCATGGGGGGCAGGGAGGGAAGGGATTAGGAGCACAAGCACCTCAGCAGTGCATAAGTAGGTGAGTGTCTCATGGAGAAAACTGTTGGTAGAAGCTGAATCCCAAATACCCTGGCACTGACTGCATTAGAAGCTGGGTAAAGAGGTGTCTGTGGTCCATCAGAGTTGTTATACACACTA